GCCGGCGGCTCTGCGTGGCTGGGAAATGACAGATTATTCCGGTGAACTCCCGCACGCTAGCCTGCTGTTACCCACTACAAAAGCAAGCCAACTGGGAACCTTTCAGTAGGTGGCAGCAGAAATGCATTATCAACGCAGAGGATGCCTTTCGGGACACCCCTTCTTGGCAAATCACCCCTTTAGGCACATTGCTTCGGGTCAGATACTGTGCCCCAACCAGACTTACGCCAGCAGAGTCAGGCCAAACGCAGAGAACCTGGGTTGGGAAACTCACTCAGATTCTGAAAATCCCCACGTTTTGCTGTGGCGAAAGCGTTCCTCACCAAACCGCCTCTTGCAAAACGTGGCAAGTTCCCTAATTTGGTGCTTTGGTTTCTATGGCCCTGCAGAGCCGGCACGGCTCACCAGAACACCTCCCAGCAATAGGGCTTTTGCAAAATCACACCACACCTTCACCTCGTGCAGTCCCGGCCAAACAAGGCCACTTTAAAAGAAAAATGACTTCCATAAATTCCAAAGACTCAACAAATCAGCAACAAGAAGATGATGTAAGCCCCCAACTAAGCAGCTTTCCTCCCTACTTCAGACACGCTCGAGCTCGGCTGCCCCGCAGCCCGGGCAGGAGCAGAGCTACAGGGAGGTGAGAGGAGCGGGCGGCGGCGGGGCCGGAAGCGTGACGGCCTCCCCGCATACCTGGCCGGCAAGGTGTGGCTTTGCAAAGCTGACTCAGGGCTGGGTCAGGTCTCCTACACGCAGAAGCACGCTTTCCCAATCATCGTTTCCTGTTCTCCCAGGCGAGATGGAGCAGCCAGGGGCAGGATGGAGGTTTCTCGGGCACAGGCAGTCCCCCTCCCCAGAGCTGCTGGGCGTAGAGGACAGCGAGGAGGGACGACCTGGCCGGCAAGGTGTGGCTTTGCAAAGCTGACTCAGGGCTGGGTCAGGTCTCCTACACGCAGAAGCACGCTTTCCCAATCATCGTTTCCTGTTCTCCCAGGCGAGATGGAGCAGCCAGGGGCAGGATGGAGGTTTCTCGGGCACAGGCAGTCCCCCTCCCCAGAGCTGCTGGGCGTAGAGGACAGCGAGGAGGGACGGCAGGGGGCTGGTGACTAAGGCGAGGACAGCGGCACTGGTTTTGTGACTAACCATTACTCATGCAAGGAGGAATTTGGAGAGGGACCCGCATCCAGCTCGGCTCGTTGCTTTGGATACTTCTGCAGCCGTAAGCACAAAGGAGAGCTTTGACAATGAATCAGGCCCTGGGTTAAAATGACAAAGACAGACTTATCTACCAACTTTTGTGTTAAAATGATTTCAGTGTAATCATAAAAGCAGCTTAGTGCTAAGCAGAGGAAACAAGCAACGTTTTCAGCCCCAGATGACTAACTGTAGGCTCCTGGATGGACAAAACCGTTCAGAGGCAGCAGCAGAAGTGGGTTTTTATTAACGCATGATGGATTTCACTTTCCCCTGGACTACAAAGGAATGAGAGCATACTGGCAAAGTTTGCTTGAGAAGCTTTTTCCTTTTTTTTCTTTTTTTTTTTTTTTTAAATCAGAGAAAACCTCCCCTCAAAAAAAAAATAAAAATCCTAAAATGAGTCCTGGGATGCTTTCTTTTGAAAGCATCTCTGTAACTCGCTTCTAAAGGATTTAAAAGGAAGCAATCAACACCCATGTTCATTATTCTCCTGCTTTTATTATCCACCTAAAAATAAAGGTAGGAACAGTGAAAATAAAGAGAGTCATCAAATTCCAGTTCTCCCCTCATGAAGCCTTTGCCCTCTCAGCTAGTTTGCATGCTTACTTTGCAGTCTGCAGCGCAGGGAAGACCAACAAAGAATTACTAATTAAGCAGCCGCCTGCAAAAATCTGGGAGGTTGAAAACTTGTTGTGGTGAATGATTGCTCCAAAGGAAAGCTCCAGCGTTGCAAATGCGTACCCACCCGCAGGGGACCTTACCAACACCCCTCGTTCCACCACAGTCAGCGTCACCCACAACCACCCCGCACACGCATGGGGCGAGATGTTACAGGTTTTACAAGCCAGCCCAGTTCTAAATCAGCGGGAGACCCTTTCGGAGAGCTGGGAATCCCCGCGTGAATGCGATGATTTCTTCTTCCGATGCCTCTACGGTCACAACGCCGTGTTTTGCAACCAGTGACTTGTGCACTATTTAACACAGGACAAGCTTCTTACGCAATTTGCAAAGCGGAACATATTCTTATTTGATCTTTATCCAACAAATCTAGCAGAGGAATCCGAACCAGTATTTAAAGAAATATACCTCCTTTCTGGGGATACCAAACAGCGTTTGTGCCCTTCTGAAGCTGCAAGGTGCTGGCTGCACACGATCTGCCTGGGATGAGAGACAACGCAGTTCGGATAAAGAGAAACAGCATAAAATTCACGTTAAGGTAGGCTGTAAGGATGCAACCCTTTTGTGATCTTCACTTTTGACAAATGACAGCGAGACAGACTGCGAGGCTTCGGGCAGAAAGAAATAAGTGAAGTCAGTGACTCATCACAGCCCTGGAAGCAAGGAATAGGCCTGTTACTCACGTTACATCAGCAGCCAGTTCAGGGGACAGAGAGAATTACCGCAGCGTTAGCTATGCCCCAATTCCTCCTGTATTCACCTGAAATTTGTATGGCCCCAGCCCAGGGTCAGAGGGCTTCTCACAAGGAATGACTCTGTCCTGATAGTGTTAGCTCTGTGTCCATTACACTCTCAACCTTCTCACCATTTTATTGTTTTAAAGACTGTTTTTTTGCATTGCTCAGAGCATTTTTCATTTCAAAAATCAGGAATGAGAATGTGTATTCTCCTCCCTGTAAGACAGCCAGGCCTATAGGGAAAAAAACCCCCACCAAATAAAGAGCTTCGGCTCCTCCCTCCTCCAAAGCAAGCATCTCGTGGAGGGCAGACGGGTGCTGAGGGCTCTGCCCATGCAGGCTGTGCTCTGCTCTCCCATGCCGGGGATGCTGCCCAGCTGACAGTGAGCTTAGGCCGGCAGCTGGACCACCCCTGTCCTCCAAAAGCAAACTAAGCCTCCAGCTTTGCAGCTCCAAGAGCAGAAGCAAGCCCTCAGTGAAGGCACAGACCCAGGCCTGGATGACCAACAGAGTCAAGATGAACCACATTTCCCAGGAACGTCACCAAGTGCAAATGCCCATGCCCAGAAGGACCTGCCCAGACACCCAAAGCCATGCAAGATGAAGGCTATCGCCTGGCCTGGTCCTCACCAGGCGCCTGGTGAGGCTCTGCACCTCGCTTCTACGCCAGTCCCCATAACTTGTGGAGCTCCCACAGCTTCCTCCTGAAAGGTCCACGCAAGCCCAAGTGTTAATCCCACGTGTTGAGTTCACTTCCACACTCCACCCATCCCCATGTCAGGTGTCCACCCTTCCTCCACAGCAAGCAGAGGGAGATCACCTCCAGGAACAAGTGACCCTCTGGAAGCATTTGCTGTCTCTCTCTTGACTGCAGACATCTGGACTCCTGTCTCGTGGATGGCCAGGGGGAGTTAATGAGAGCCCACGGTGTGACTGAGGGGCAAGAGGAGGAGATATCACCACTCTGAATTCCCAAACATCAGATACTCTAAAGTTGGGGGTGGGGTGGGGTGTAGAAGTGGAAATAAATAGCAAAAAAAAAAAATAAGCTAAACAAAAAAACCCCACCAAAAAACCACCAATCCCTCCCCCAAACCAAAAAACCAACCCCACAAACCACCGCCTTCCAAGATGAGCAAATTAAGAAAATTTAAAAAAATAATAATAATAAAATACCAATCTACTCCCTGACAACGCCCCAGACCTGCACACAATTCGTGCCAGAGGAGTTCTGCACATGTTTGCAAATCACGATCGCAGCTGAGCCCCCCGGTTGCACAGATGGTTCTGGCTTGGCTCCCGTACGGACGGCAGCGACAGAAGCACACCAGCCGTCCTTCGGGAGACCCGGCCATAAAGCCACCGGGGCTGAAACCAAGCCAGGGACTGGCCTCATCTGTGCACACACTTAGAAGGAAGGGGCAGCTTCTGTGACAACGCGTGTTTAAAGCCGTGTCCTCACTACGTGCGCCTATGCCAGCAGTGGAATGAGAGAACATCACACGCATCCAAAGCAGACTCTGCTCCGGGCTGAAGCACAGAGGGCTATTCTTGAGGCTTCCCCTCTCCAAAGCAAACAGGAGCATTCCTGATTTTCCCCTGTTTATTTAAAAAGCCCACCACACATTCCTGGGCACCGGCCTATCCCAAGCCAACCATGGGATGAGAGCTTCTACACTGTAAATCCCAGGAAGAAATTGGCCTAACTTGGGAATGGCCTAACAATCGCTACCTTCTGGTGGCCGCTTAGCGGTCTGCAAAGTACACCACAAATCTCAAGAGACCTGTTTTCACATTGTTACAGCCACCCTCAGAACTGGCCTCCACGCTGACAGTTTCGGTGCAAAGCCCGAGAGCCGCCGCAGGAGCATGTCAGAGGCGCACGGCCGCGCCGAGCAGGTCCATCCCAGCCATACCTGCCCGGAGAGCGTGAACTCCCAGGCTCCGGCACTTCTCCCCAGCCACACCTCGCCTGCTTGAATCTTTGTTCCCACAGGGTACAAAAACACCACCGCTGTGGCAACCACCAGAGACGCCCTGCTGGATTCATCGGGAAGGGGGGCACCACCATTACGCCTCAGGGCTGCAGCAAAGCCATTTTAAAGCTCCTAGAGAAAGAAGATTAGAGAAACGGAAGCCGCAGCACGAGCAGGTTTGCGTCCAGGCAGCACCGGGGAAGACGTCTGTTGTCACCTCTGACACCTGGTCACCCCAGGCATTGCAACACAGTCACTTTTCGACTTCACCAGGAAGGAGCCCTGCACTACCACCGACGCCTGCGAAGACGGAGCACAGCGGTGCACGAGAGCAGACTGTTCGCTTCTCCGCCATGAACGAGAACAAGGGGTTTCTGTGTGGGAGAGGGCAATGGGACATGGCATTCTAGGGATCACAGGAAGAATTTCTGAATTGGGAAGCAAGCATTTAGGTATTGCCTTCCCGACTGCATTTTCTGCTCCAGGCAGACAGAGAAGAAAACAGCCAACCCTTTATCTCCACAGCAGTAAACTTGCAGTCTCCCATACACGTGTGAAAGATTTGCATGGGAAACAAGGACACAACAATGCTGTGGTCAGAGTTAAAAACCAAAATCCAGCCAGAAAACTGCAGGTTGCTTTTGTCCTTTTCACGAAGGAGCTAAATTCAGTGGCACACAGACAGCGCTGCCCAGCAGAGCCTCCCCCTTATTTGTTATTTTTAGCAATTTAGTCTGACAACGCCTGACAACTAAACATGCTGAATATAGCAGGAGAGAAGGGGACTATCAGATACTATCAGAGAAAACACACAGCGATAATCGCTTTCTCCACCCCTAACGAAGAATCAGTTTTCCATGTCTTTGTAACATCATAGAGTTTGTTCCTTTTAAAATGCCACATTTAAAAACAGAATCCATCTAGCCCTACAATGGAAACGGATAACATTTCCTGAAACAAAGCATTGTTCCACCCCTCGCATATCATGTTTCCTTAAAAACAAGGGAAGAAAAACATTACTTGCTTTTTCTCCTAATACTGCACAAACATTGCTGAGCTAAAAAGAGTCTGTGCTCATCCCTTTAGAATGCTTTCAAAATAGATTTAACGCATACCCCTCGCACTGTGAAACACAACAAGAATTTGATAGTATCAGGACTGGAAAAATCCAAATCGCTCCTGCTAGGCGGGACGCTTCCACGCCAGCACGGGAGCCAGCCTCTGCCGTCCCCCTCTGCGAGGTTCAGGCAGGTTCTCCTAAGCCTCACTGGCACAGCCTTTAAGCAGGCACGTGTATTTTGCCAGCAAGCCTGGACAGTCTACTTGGATTCCAAAGGATTATATACAAGTTGTGAAGTTAAGAATGCTCCGTACGTATGTATTCACCTCCATACCTTGGCTTCACCAAGAAGGGTAACGCCACCTTGCTTTTTCTGCACAGTAACTGCCAGGCTGTGCCTCTGCCCCCTCGTACACACCCACGCCCCTTCCGTGTGTTCAGAACACGGTTCCTCTCGCAAAGTATATCCAACGCGTATTCCACTGTGTCGTAAGAGCAAGGCATGAGTGTCTCAAGCTCACGCTACGTGAGTAACCAGACCAGTCACGCCGTATGGATACGGCAGGATTACTCTGACCGGCTTGATTCAACCACGCAAAGTGAGAAATGTAAGTAATAAGGTAGTTAACAACGTAAAATATAAACCTAAGCTTTAAAATCCTTCCAGTTTTAATAAGGGATGGAGGGAAGGTTTAACCTATCTTGGTCTGATATGTATTTTACAATGATGCAGTGGAAGCACAAGGTCACAAAGTTTCACATTCTTTCCTGCTTCTGTCACAACCTGTTTTCAGGACAGCAAAATCCCCTACTCCTGTGATAAGTGCTCTCTGACCTGGACTTGGATATTTCCCCTGAAACCTCAGTTTCCAGTAGTTGCCAGTCTAAGAGCT